CCTATGTAACACCCAACGATGCGGTGCGAACCAATGATGTGGTGCAAATCAATGATGCGTTGTGAACCACACAGTGTCAATGGTTACTAGAATGCACAAATTGATTGCTAGGATGCAGTTGGGTGCACTATAACAACCAATAATGCCGTGGGTCCGCAAGTGTCTTAGCAAGCATGTAAAGTACATTGTTGCACCTCCTGTGTCTTAGCAACCAGTGAAGCTGTGTAGCTCAGTCACTAGTCAACCAATGATGCTGTGAGGGCTGTACAGTGTCACTAGTTGCTAGGCCACAAACTGAGGTTTGGCAGGGTGGCGAACTAGCCAAATTGTTTGCCCATTTATTGAACTGCGAACAGCTGTTCACCCCTGGATAACTGAAACACAAAGCTCATCTACACTGCTCACCTACCTCCACGATATTTACATGATTAAAAAGGACACATCAGAAGATCCTCTATGTCTCGAGCCGCCACAGACCCACCCACCCTGACAAGATTCATAGCTTTGCTGACTTAAACACGAAGCTCATGTCTAATGCTCACCCCCTCCACAATATTCACCTGATTAAAAAGACACATCAGAGGACCCTCCATGTCTCGAGCTGCCACAGACCTACCCACTCTGAGCTACCTCACACAGACACTGCAAAGTGATAAATACAGATTTAAACCTTCCTCTCTCTATTAAAAACAAAAAAAAGTTTTGTTTAGGTGTAATAACTTATGTACCATCTTGCAAATAAAAAATGAATGTTGGAATCAGAGGCGTCTTGAGTTGGGGTGACACCCGGTGTGGATCCTGGGTGACACCCCACAGTGACATAATCGCGTACGATGTTACCTGCTAGTGGCCATCTTGGTGATGGATGCTGGCAGAGAGATGAGGGGACGTCACCCGGTGGGATAAGGTTTGCCACCGGGTCCCCTCCTCTCTCTCCCTCTCTCTCTCTCTCCCTCTCTCTCTCGAGCAACTGTCGGACTCTCGGTCCTTGACCAAGTGCCCGACTTTTCAGAGGGGGGTGACACCAAAATGACTGTCAGTCATTGAAGAATGACTTCTTCTGGGTTCTGATTCTTCAGCCACTTGATTTGCATGTGCACGGGAGTTACTTCATCTTGGAAAAACTCCTGCCTGAATAATAAGCTGTGCATGTGCAGTTCAGTGTACAAAAAAAGGAATGCAGACAGGCAGCTAGAAGCTTTTATGGCAGAAATGACTTACACAGTCTCTTCTGTCATAAAAAGCTGCCGACTGGCAATTTTTTATTTACAAGGCTTAACTAACACTTTTAAAACGAATGGAACGCTCCATTTGGGGAACTTTATTTAATCTTTACTCAACAGGATAGTGTAATCTGTATTTCCAAACCCTTTGGCTAATTTTTAAAGCAATGAAATGTAAAAGTATCAGTTAAGTAGGAACTGTTAACCTCTGCCCCTTGACCAGCAAAGTTTGTAACCTTCTGTTACCAGGAAAACTGTACTATGGAGAAGGAATTTCCTGTCGGGTTATTACTAGGGATTAGAGGCCAGAGGGGACAGGTAAAGCAGAAAATGTTATATTCCATGGAGAAATTCTAAAGGAAAAAATGTTCACTGTATAACTGTTTTGCTAAAAAAGAGCAAGATGCAAATGTCATAAGAACTCTGAAGCCATTTATTATAATTGTACATTGTCATGTGGTCTCAGGGGGCATATGCTCATAGATATCTAGGGAGGTTTGCAATAAACTTGGAATGCCAAAATATGTTTTCATAAATATTCAGCATCGCAGAATGTGCCTCTCTGATGTATGTGGAATAAAACACAGAGAACTGAATGAAATATATTCAGAGAGAAAGAGAAAGAATAGCTTGGAAACAGAATAAATTCTATATGAAGAATATACCAGGCCATGCATTAAAATAAGTAAGGCTATTGCCAAAATATGTGAATAGCCACAGCAATTCTGTGACACATACAAACATTATTCATGATGTTTGGGCCAGACAGTACCCCCCTATTAGTTACTACTGTCTGAGGTGTAACAACTTGCTGTACTTCTTCAACTTGTTTTGAATTTTAGACCATTGCATGTGAAAATATGGCATACACCTTTAAATAAGAACTCTGTGGGAAAATAGTAACCCTTGCACTGGGGCTACCCCTGCACTACAAGGGTTAACTGCCCATTTGTGTCTCACCCGAGATCAGGGTTCTTAGGACCCTGAGGAACATTCCATCTGTGCAGCGAAGGAGGAGAAATGATCCAGTGACCGGAGAAGCAGGGAATTGGCATGGCAGTTAGTGAGAGTATAACTTTTTTTTAGCACCTAGACAAAAGCAAGCAGTTAACCCTTGCAGGGTGGAGGTAGTCCTACTGCAAAGGTTAATACAATTTTCCCCCGGAGTTCTTCTTTAATAGAAAACCGCATCGAGAAAATATGTAGACTGCCATTATTGCTGAACCCTCCTTTTGAAAATGCTAGCTGCCTGACTTGTATGTTGGCCCAATGGCTTCAATAACTAGACCTGGAACAAGTGTGCAGGATGTCTGACTTTCCCCGACTTCACTAGCTGCATGCTTGTTCCAGGGCAGCAATTTACAAAATTATTAGGCCAGAGACATTTTCCTAGTACAAGTTTCCCTTAAAGGTGCAACCTCTAAGAATTACAGAAGCTTTATGTTCCAAGTACGAAACATCTGTCCTAAGCCCAGATGCAGCATCTTAGTATCCTGAGCATTTTCATAGCTGAATGAAATTGACAGTTTCAGGAAAGCTCCAGAGAACGTTTATATATGGATAAAGGAGGGCAAAAGTACAAGGCTGCCAGTGATCATATTGTACTCCTTTCCCTCTCTGAACCAAGTAACTGTTGAGACCATTGCAATCTTTGCTTCTAACCACTTAGTTGTTTAAACAAATAGAATTATCTGAAGATAATCAAAACCGGTAAAAAAACCAACTAGCATGTTATTTTAATGCTATCCAATGTGGCAGCAATTCTATTACTAATTCCAAACAATCATCTCTATTGTCCTCACGGCTGATTGTATTCTACGCAGCTTTCAGCATATCCTGCAGTATAATATTTATATAATAATGATGCAGCTTACACTTTGCTCCAAATAATTATGCGTTAATTACAGCACTGTCATACATAAAACTCACACATGGACATATGTTTGCATTCATTGTGATAACTTTTCATCTCCTTCCTCTTTCAACAACTGTGCAGTATGCACATAAGTACATAAGTACAAAGGATGAACTCTGAGAACACAATTATTACTGGCTAATGTATTCAATAAAGCAGCATAAAGAACAGCCATGATGCACATTGAGGCAGTAACTCCATGGACTGAATGTAGTCAGGTCAGTGAAAGGTTAATTCTGATCTATTACTAGGGGAAACAGAATGATCTACGTACATACTACAGTAAGAGTATCTTGGCCATATAAACAGTATTTTGAGGATCAATTGTATTAAAGGATAATTCCACCTTTTGCATGAAAAATAATAAAAGCACACATCTTCATGATCATAGTGCATGTATTATGTTTTTGCATAGGAGCCAGTAAAGCATTGCAACTATGATCAGTAGATTATAGGTGCAATGCTCTGGCTCCTGCAGATTGTTCCTCCCATCAATGTCCATACCAAGGTACGGACAGATAGCAACAGGGATGGGAGGAAGTGTCAATTGATAACAGGTGTGGTGACTACACCACATTTGCATTCCATATAAACTACAAGTCCATAGGAGCCAGTAAAGCATTGTTACTATGATCAGTAGATTATAGGTGCAATGCTCTGACTCCTGCAGATTGTTCCTCCCATCAATGTCCATACCAAGATACGGACAGATAGCAACAGGGATGATAGGAAGTGTCAATCGATAACAAGTGTGGTGACTACACCACATTTGCATTCCATAGAAACTACAAGTCCATAGGAACCAGTAAAGCATTGCAACTATGATCAGTAGATTACAGGAGCAATGCTCTGACTCCTGCAGATTGGTACGGACATTGATGGTAGAAACAAAGTATGGAGATACAGTAACAGGGAGGAACCAGGGGATGGGAGGAAGTGTTACTGGATAACAAGTGTGGTGACTGCACCGCATTTGCATTCCATAGAAACTACAAGTCCCTGTGCTGTAATGGGACTCCTGCCAAAAGATCTGTGGATGGATGATGCAGCTGTGTGGAGATGAAACCTGCAGTTTAGGTTAGTGGGGGTATAGGAGGGGGGTCTGCAATCTGACCATTTTTTATGTTACACCCTAAATGTGGGTGTAACATGAAACATGGACAGAAAAGTGAACTTAGCCTTTAATGAACAACAAACACAAACCATATACTGTATAGCAAAGAGATCCTACATGATGTTTAATTTGTTTTTATAAACTACATTTCCAAAAGCAGAAAGCTGATTGGTTTCTTTTGGCTGCAACACTTCATTGCTTTTGGAACTATCTTTTTAGTAGGAATAGAAGTTTAGCAGAATCTGTCAGATAAGAAGTGGAATGAAGTGGTTGTGGGTAGCTCCGGCAATTACCCATAACCGTTCTGAGCTTCATAAAAACCACAGTGACATTTGGTTATACAGTAATTGAATTGTACACATTTCTATACAGACTTAGCCTATATCATATTTCAACAAATCACTTCCAACAGGGAGTGTGTAGACCAAACAAAAGTATTTTAATATGTTTAAATAAACTATAGAAATATTCACAGTCTTGGTGAAAACCATCATGTTTGATTTGTGTGAATTAAACAGTGAATAATTACTCCACACATATGGCGTGGAAATATAAAATGTGCAAGTTCAGGAGTGGCTCTGTTTATATATTTATATCTGCCCATACATCATTTCCTTATGCTTGACTAAAGAGATGGCATCTGTTGCTGGGAGTTGGTTTTTCAATTCTGGTGACATGGTTAGCTAATGGTCTACCACATTCAGTAACATCTACTTGACATATTACATAAGCATAATTTTTATTTTACCTCCGGATAGTGGCCAATATCAATATAGGTACAGACAGGGTGAAAAGCTCCAGTTCCACAGGCGTACAAGTGAGTGTGGTTGTAAACCTTCAGAACCTTAATAAAATTGGCACATTCTTTCTGTGGAAAGATACAGAAATAAAAAATTAGTATATCAGTGCACAGTAAATACAAGATTTTTAAGAACATATACAGTACATGTACCACCAATTCTACTAATTGATGTCCATTCCAATCAGGCACCAATTGAAAAGTACATTTCTTATAAATAAGCATTAAGTTCTAGAAATGAATCTCCCTGCACATGAAAACTATATCACTTTACAGATGCATCTTCATACCCAGTGCCACTCTTGCAGAAAATGCAAACTTGTGTATAGTGTATATCGCTGTATTCTATGCAATGGTAATTAAAGGCTGTAAGACACTCAGTGCAGGTCAGGGGGCATCACATGTCATAAGATAAAAAAACAAAGTAGGTAGCTGTATGTAAGTATATTAAGACATTATACCCAAATTTGTCAATATGATGATTTTATAAGGCATAGCATATTTCAATAAAGAACCAGTGTACAGTGGTAAAGGTGCACCCCATTCGTAAACTGCCATAACAATCCTTCGGCACTTCTTAAGTTACACAGAGTTCTTTTGAGGCAAGTTTTTAAGTCAAAGTATTATGAAAAACCTCACAAGGAAATGCGTATGTCTTTGATATGAATGTGGAAATGTACAAATTGCATGATTGTAGATGTAAAAAAGACTCTTTTTTTGGGGTATCTATGGACAAAAACTAAAAGTATTAGTATTTCTATACTGAATTTCCATAAATTCTATCCTACTCCTAATAACCATATCAATCTAGAAATTTGTAAACTTACTTATTAAAGATGTCCATTGCGATGTATTTCCTCAATACAGTGACACAATTTCACTCTGCCTTATGAATATGTATTTCCGTGTGTAACCACTCTAACTAAGCCTGCCGTCTTATCTACAGCTCTTTGTCTGAACTTCCCACAATGTAACATCATCATTGCTTGATAGAACCAGTGCATGATGGGACATGTGGGCTTGAGTAACCAAGACTTCATCACATGTAGCAGCAGGGAAAGAGATGCAAAGCACACTGGAAATCCAGGAAATTGTTAAAAGTGATGGGCAGACAGAAGGCAGCAATCACTACATAAAATGCAATCTTTGATCAAAGTAAGCTTTGATTCCATTATCAAAAACCGCTATAGTATGTATTATTGTTACAATGCTGATGTTATAACAGGATCGTATAAGCTGTGACTTTAGAACTCCTTTAACACCTATGCACAATGTTCAACACATGGTCTACAGGTAATGTGCATATCCATGAGAGGATGTGTGTTGGTATACAAGCATTTTTGTGTGCATCTCATCCATTTCCTATAGGCCCTCTATGTATGTTGATACACACACCCTTTTTTTCCATACCAAGGCAACACGGGTATGTGACAAGCATATGCATTGTGGTGCAATCTCATTTGCAGCAGTATTGAAATGGGAACTAGCAAATGTTAGGATCCCTTGATTTGTGCCCATCCACATTCTTATATTTCTGCTCATTGCTCATCTAAAGGCACTTGCAAATTGGGATACAGATTTGTTCAGAGCATACGTGGCCAGCTTAGGGATTTAGTTGTACAATTGTTGTGCTATAAACTGGATGTTGTAATGCAACTCAGACTTGCTACAGGGTTAATGTTAGTTATACATAGAGAGCAGACTGATATTTTGGTAATCTAACTGCCTGTTAAAACTGTTTGCAGCAGATTTTTAGATCTGAGAAAGAACAGTTCCAAAGGTGTTATGTATACAGATGTGTGTCATAACCACAACACAACCTCTTTATACCTGGCTCCGAGCCTAAAAAGGCATTCACTTGAAACCATTCCTGCTTAGATTAATATATCTATCCATATACTTAAAAGCTTAGAAAAAAGAACAAACAGCAAGGTATATTTTGTCACAGTGCAACTCATTGCAGCAACAGAATTGAAATGGGGAAATATAGTTTATGTATTTCGGTAGATAACATTGTAAATGTTTTCACATGAATAAAAAGCCAAACTTAAATTAAAAAAACGGTTTCTTATCCACATGCTTGTAAGAAGTCAATACAGATAACCAGGCAACTAGAATTTTTAGCAGACAGCCTCCAAATTTCTCTTTGTACAGGTTTCCTTTACCATTAAGAGTACACAGGTTTTTACAAGCAATGGATAATATAAACGTATTTACCTTGGTCTAAACCAGTGCTTAAAGACTTGCAGATCTTATTAACACCTTCCCAACAAGATTACACATATATGTGGTGACACCAAGGAGGGCTTTAATCCCTAGTTGCTGCATTTATGCACTGTTCTGTGCTGGAAGCATGCTGACTGTGCAATTGAAGAACAGTGACCAAGCCATCAACAACAGCGCCCAGTCACTGGTTAACATCAGGGTCTGAGAACAGGCTACCAATCATGTGATCAGAAGCCCATCCATGGCTTGCAATATTAAGTAACTTTTAAAGGGCTGGTGGCAAGGGGTTATAGCTTGTTTATGATTTGTCACTGATGGATATCTGTTTTGCTCTATGGACACTACCATGTTGTGTGGCATTAGTGTGGGTTGGCCTAAATGTAAATAACAACTAGTGCTTAGAACCTCAGTTTGATAGCTAAGAATCTTCTAACATGAGGCTGTATAAGACAACCCCATAGTTACATGTGCATAACATGGACATTGTTTCATCCTAGCTTGTAAATGCTAGACTTAAAAGAATCAGATTCAGCAAGCATTTACAAAGCAATTTACGAGCATGTATTAAACATCAAGAAGCTTTTCTAAAGCCCTTAAAACACCTTTTGCTACAGTCTGGGAGTGCTGAACCAAGACATTTAATGGCAACACTGGTTATAGCTTTAAAGCGTATGTAAACCCAAGACAAAAATGTAATATACTGCAGCTTGCCAGTGGCTGCACTAGTTTTCTTTTTCCATGTTTTTTTTTGTAGACACCTCAGTCACACTGCAATGTTAGGTCATGGACCTCTCTGCAACCTACACTGCAGTTTGCAGTTGAGTAATATATCTTTGGCTAGGACACCCCTTGCCTGTGATTTAAATAATTGAACAGAGTCACATTGATGATATTGTTCTGTAATCTCCACTCCTGCAAGCAAAAGATCTCTAATTGGCTCACAATGTTTCTTCACCCTTTCCAGTCTGGGTATTGTGTAGGTAAATATACAGTATAAGTTGAATATTACCGAAGAGTCACGTTCTCATGCAAGTTTTATAGAAAAGCAATTTAATAATTTTAGCAGGTTCTTGGCACATGTCAGCAGGCTTAGCACTGCCTGGATCTTGTGAAAAGCATGTGTTTGACCATGTTTATTAAGCCTTAGGCAGATAAGGCCTTATTTAAAATTGGTAGTCACATATGAATGCACTTAAATAGGTTACAACATCCATATCAACAGCACAACAAACAGATAATCCTAAAAAAGAGAAAACATATCCAACTGCCAAAAGATTTTTTTAACAAGAAAAAGATTTAGGCCCAAAACAAGCATGGTAAGATCACTGAAGCATGCATGTTTATGCTTATGGAAGAGGTAGGGGAGTACTGACAAAATCTATCAGCACCAGCCCAATCCTAATAAGAAACAATAACAGCTGTGATATTACTCACAGACAAGGACATTTGTCAGATACAGTTTGGGTGACTATGATCTCAGGTCTGTGAATATGGCCATATGTGTGACATCAATACCAAAGACACCAAGATAAGTGAATATATAGAGTTTTGTAAAGGAATAGTTCACAAAGTACAGAAAGCTGATGTACTGTAGTAATAGAAAGGTACTATCGTAAAACCAACATGCAATCTCATGTTACATACCAGTTGACAAACTCATCTGTTAGGTTGACCATTGCATAACAAAACACACCAATATGCACAGTGACAATGACAAGGTATCCTCCTTTTACCTCCTTCTACTTGCAAAGTCCTAGTAAGCTGTCAAGAATGCATTAATGCTTTATGAGAGCCTTTGGAATCACTATTAGTGAATATGATTATAAACATAGCATAATAGAAAAATACACAGAGCTGATGTACTGTAGTAAATGAAAGGCTCTACCATAAAACAAACATGCAATCTCATCGTACATCCTAGTTGACAAACTCATCTGTCATGTTGACCATTGTATAACAAAACACAATAAAATACACAGTAAGAAACAATGACAAGCTATCCTCCTTCCACTTGCATAGCCATAGTAAGCTGTCAAGAATGCATTACTTGATTTCTAAGAACCTTTCTAATCCCTGTGCTAGTTAATATGATTATAAACATACCATTACATAAAAATAAACTGCTGGAAGTATAAATTGCAGGCACCTATGGGTACCTGCACATACTCACAGCAGCCTCTGAAACCCTCCTGTTAGGGCCAAATCCCCAGCTATTTTGACAGGCAAAGATTTGGCACTTACTGATAGTACTTGCCCTATCATACCTCCTACACACTGTTGTTGGCCAGTAAGGCAGCCTATCATGATATGCCAATAGGAATATATGGGAACAAGGCTTAGCAGCAGATTCTGACACTACCTGGAAGTGTTGGCACTTTACCTCCCAAAGCATCCCCAGGAATCAGCTGCAACAGAAGGGTTTGTGAGGCTGCTACAGGCAGATACCTCTAGTATCCTTTGTTCTAGACCTGCTACAAGTTTATGTATATTTACTAAAATGGACAGACTGCTTAATAAAAAAGCAAGACATTTTTATTTCTGACCAAGGTCTGCAATTATAAACCCATTCTACTGCAAAATGTGGGTGACAAACACCTAATCTAAGTGGAGGTGTTTGATGTCTCATATACAGATTTTTCTTGTTGCTATCTGCCGGTGTTTGGGCGACCTTATGCTTTTGTATATACAACAGCTTGAACTTTAATTTTGGTCTAATGTTAAACATTTTTCTTTCATATATAAAACATGTAAATAGTCATTTCCCTTCATGGGAAACATCCCTTGGTTTAAAATAATCACTGGCCTGAACAACCAATAGCATATTCAACAATAAACAAAAATAA